AATTAAATGTACTACAAAAGTTCAATCTTTCAGACATAAATGGTCTTAGTCTGCTATAGTTGTGCTGTCAAATTCCATTTAATTCTAATATTTCAAACGTTTTGATTAATTTAGATCCTGATTGTAAACTTGTAGGTAAGTTCGGAAATAGATGATTTAGGATCTGAAATAGGGAGGGAAGCTTTTATAACCTTGATTGAATTTATCGTTAAATCTTATCCAGTTCCAAACTATTTACTTATGTACTCGTTGCAGCACTTTAGAGTGCAGCATGTTGCTAAAATTAACTGCTGATGAAATCCTATTAGCATAAATTTTAATATATTCAATAATTTGGTAATTTATGTATAATATACCATTGATAAATTGTTTTGCACTGCTACATTTACGAATTTTATCTTACACTTGTTGCGTCTGCAGTAGCTGTGAGATATAAAATCAAACAATACTGCATAACAATTTCTTACGGCTTAACATCCCTGACCACAATTTTACCTACTGATTGATAATCAATAATTTATAACAATTTTAAGCTTGATTATGCAAAAAAGTTATCATGATTTATAGACAATTTAGAAAAAATATTATAAGTTGTTATTTGTGATAAATCGACAAAATATTTAATAAAGGAAATTACAAAATGTGCAACTTTTAATAACTACTGCGTTTTAAATAACTAACACCTGCTCTATTTTTATAAAGTACATTTTTGCCAGAACAATTTCCCTCAGCAAATGCTTGTTTCTATGTGTAATCGTATTCATCAATGCCATGCAATCAGCCTCGTAAATATGAGGCCAGCTGGATTTTAATTTACCTGAGTTTTGCTTCAGGTATTAATATGTATATACATATATACAACATTTTATTATCTAAAATTTTAGTGTTTGTCAGATAGTCAGCTTCATTATTTGCAAAATGAGAACTGGGATGATACAGTCGTGTTTTTTGTTGATTTTGTTATTTTCAATGTCAGAACAATGTGGATGTCCCGCACAGTATACACAGCAAGTCGTGTGTAACTCCAAATTGGGTAAGATCCTTTTTGTTTTTGTTTTTTTTCTAATGGCATGAAGGGTTTCATGTTTTGCTAAAAAAACTGCAGCATGTTATAAAAATTATTTAAAATAAGATAATCATTTAAGAAAATAATTAATTTTCAAAGAACCGTATAAAAAACAATGTAATTGTAGTACATTGTCGAACTTATATCACTTACTTGTACAAAGCCTAAACCAGAAAGAAAAGCGAAGCACGTTCAACTTTATATCATTTTTGTTTGAATGATTGATTGTTGTTTGCTTTACGCCGCATTAGCACAGAAAGGCTATATCGCGGCGAGAGCTAATTCGAATATTATAACAATTTAAGGTATATTTTTAAAATCAGACAAAAGGTCTTTCAATAAACTAAAATCCTAGACTAAAGCAAATTGATTATTTACAAATAAAAATCAACACTAAGATAACGTGATAAAAATTAAAATCGTTTTAAATATAACAACATTTTTATATTTTATAATATATTCCAATTTCTTTTAAGAATGAAACAATATTTGTAAATGGAATATTATTAAATAAATCATACATATTATTGACATTGAAATGCTTCTTCCGAATATCAGCAAAGTCAATACCATTGATTAAAACATGTTTAATAGTATACTTGCAGTTACAAGGTATACATTGTGGTTCTACTTCATTTTTTAAAAGATATTCGTGTGTTATTCTAGTATGACCAATACGACATCTAGAAATAACACACTGATCTTTTCTGCACATAAAATTATTGAAAGGTTTACATAAATTAGGTTTAATTTCATGTAATTTATTACCATCTTTTTTACTCCATTCATTTTTCAATATATTAAAAACATATTCTCTAATATTAGATTTAAAATTGGTATATGGTATATCACAGTTAGATAAAGGGTCACCCAGGGCATTCTTTGCCTCAAGGTCTACAGCTGTGTTTCCAAGGATTCCAACATGACTCGGCACCCATAGAAATAATATTTCTTTAAGAAGAATTTTTAAATTCCTCATTACATATACAATTTTGAGAATTGTTGGGTTTTTAATTTTAGTATTTTGTATAGCTTGTAAGCATGAAAGTGAATCAGAACATATAATAAATTTGGATTTATCTGAAGAAGCAATAAATTTCAAAGCCAAAATTATTGCTTCTGCTTCAGCAGTAAAGATCGATGCTTCAGATGGCAAACGGAGCATTGGATGATATTAGTCATGTTTTGTTAATAGACGGGCGAATGCTATCGAGTTTGCCAGCATTCTTATTTCGCTCACCCTGAGATTGTAATTTTTCGGGTGGCGGAACACTTTCGATTTCCATTTCTGATTCGTCATTAAGTGTTGAAAATCTGTTGTGTGAGGAGAGTCGTCGATCTCCAGGACCATGCGCAGCTGGTTTTACTCCGCCTCGACCCCTACCCCGCGACCTCGAATCAGAAGACTTCTGAGAGGATGTATTTGCTGGCTTCTTTGGGACATCCTTCTGTTCTGGAGAACGAAGAGGAGACGGGGCTTTAGAAGACTTTGTACTAGATGCAGAAGATAAACTAGTTTTATTAGATGCAGATGAAGGAGGACTATTGGAGATGGAAGAATCATCAATGTCACTGGGAAGATCCCAGACAGATTCACCGCCCCAACTGTCTGATTTAACTGTATCTTTTTTATTTGATTTCTTTTTTTCAATTTTTTTAGATGATGACATTGAGCTCTGTAAGGAAGATTGAGTTGACTGAGTACTGGTTTTAGAAGGTGTTGGTTTTCTTGGAATTAATATTTTATCGTTAGGTTCTGTTTCAACAGGCAGCATTGTAAATGTCTCAGCATCAATTGGCCAGGTCATGCGAGTTTGTGTATGCTCGTGACTGAATGAGCGGACAACTTTGCTGGCGTACGATGGTCTGTTCGAAACAAGGAGATCATTCGAAACAGAAGCTATCTGTTTAGCTTCTGGGTAACTGATGTTTCTTTCTGTTTTAATTTTGATAATATTTTTTTCTTTAAGGTAAACAGGGCAGTCCCTAGATGATGAAAAATGGGATTCACCACAGTTTACGCATTTAGAAGATTCAGAGCTACAGGTTGTTCCCTCGTGTCCTTCGTCAGAACACTTGAAGCATCTCTGCGTACCACGACATTGTTTACTTCCATGACCAAACTTTTGACAAGTGAAGCATCGAAATGGGTTAGGGATAAACCTGTCAACTCTGATTCCGAAGCAACCTAAAGTAATAGATGGAGGAGGAGTTGGAGTTCTAAATGTCAAAAGATATGTATTTAATTTGATTATATTTCCATTCTTTTTTATTTGAAATCTAACAACATCAGTTACACCTTGGCTTGAAAGTTCCTCACAGATTTCTTCCACGGTAAGGTCACCAAGGTATTGACTTCTGTCTCGAATGATCCCCTTACAGCTGTTCAAACTGTTGTGAGGAGAGGCAGAAACAGGAAAGTTTGTAATTGTTGTCAGTGTAAGCAAATTTGTTGATTGACTTTTGTTGGAACATTCAACCAACAAATTGCCTGATCTCATTTTTGAAACTTTTTTTACAGTACCAGCAACGCTTTGAATCTGTTTGTGAATCACAAAGGGAGATATTTTGGAAATTGGTTTTTCATCTGTTCCTTTTATTACAATAAATCTGGGCCAACTGTCATCTTCCTGACAGGGCACTGAATCATCACATTTTCTTTTTTTATGTATTAAAGCTGATTTAGAGGGTTGGTTTTGTTGTGCCATAGGAAATGAGAAAGATTCACCATTCTTGTCATCCACCCACCTCGGAGTGCCTACAAGGGCGATGCTGTGTTTCCGTGGCGAGCCGGGGTCAAGTGCTAATGCTGAAAACGAGCTCCAAGTATAAGATGTATAACGTAGCTGGTCCCCAAAATTAGCACCCAAGATCCACTGCGGAAAGCACCAGATGTTCCAAGAATGGTATACTCAAGCAGAGCGTATCCATCAAGCGAAATAGAAAGCGTACCACTTGATTGACCCATGAGCCATCGCCTTCTTCAGTTATCCGAAATATAAATAGCTTTATTTAAAACACATGTGTATATCATGAAAATTGTTACATGAAAGCTTATTGTTGAGGATTAACTGAAGGGCTCGACATGACCAGCCGATTGATCGAACCGGGTCCATCCGACCTCCCGTTTAGATGATATTGGAGCCAAAGCAGCTTATTGAACTATAGTCTTGTCCGTCCGGGTATTTTCTGACCGTAAGGAGTCTGGCTACAGCCCTCATCCGCAAGGATCTCGTCAACCACCGACACGGGTAGCAACCCACGGCCAACGGGTTGGAGAGCCTATTTTATTCAAAACATCGGGCAACTCGTACGATGTTCGGATCACTTTAGTCTGGTCTCTACCCTTCGACCTGTCCAGCATGGGTAACCCTACCAGGAGACGAAGCTCCAACTGGCACAACTCTTGGGGTCACTGAGACACGCAAGCCCCCCGACCACGGCAAGGATAGCGATCCACCGGGGGGCATTTTTGTTTGAAGAAGTCGGTAAAGCTTCTTATTTTTCTGTTTTGTTTCTTTTATAAAAATAGATTACACGTTTTATTCGGTGTTTAGGTGTAAAAAAGTAGAGATGTCGGATATTAGGGGAAAAGGGGGAGGGGTTTAAAAAGTAAGATCTGAGAAAAAGATGAAAAAGTGGGAAGTCGGGAAAATTACAAAATATTCTGATTTAGGAAATGAGCATCCCTCATAAAAATAGTACATTTTCCAATACTTCATCTTGTCATCAACCAACTCATTTTATTTGGTTTCCACCAATAGAATTCCACAAAAGCGAGATAATCGTTAAAACATAATTCTTTCGGAGATTAAATTATTGATATTCTTGCTATTGAAAATGCCGACTTTTTAAAAGAGAAAAAAACCTCGCAGTTCAGTGATCAATATAAAATATGAACAATGAATTGTCTATTGCTTCTTTTACAGTTGTGACGGCTAAAATTGAATCGTTCTCAGCAGATAACTTCCACACCAACTATCAAATATCTGTGACAAAATTTTATTATGTAAGAATTGACAGTTATCGTCATATGTGTTTACAGTGGAAGTCCGTGGAATTCATAAGTATATAAACGAACAAAGAATACAATTCAAATTGGACATTATTTGCCCGTTTTATATTAGACAAATACTTTTTTCTATTGTGATTTTCGAATCTGAGGGAAGAGGGGTTGTGGTTCGGTTCGATTTATATTGATTTTTGTACATTATTTAAACTGCCAATTCCATCTTAGCCTTTTTTGACTTTTTTTGTAAACAAAGATTACATGATACTACGTTATCTTTGTGTCAGTATTTCAGTTGAGATTTTCTATCCACTTTTTTTTTTCTTAAAATAAATTCCAAACTTATAAAACCCTTTTTTGTAATAGAAAATAACTTTGTATATGCTATATGCTTTTGTTCTTTTTGCAAAGATATTTGACTGTTTCATTGGACTAATTTAGGAATTTACGTTCAGTTTGGGTTATAAGACTCTCCAAATGATCTTCTAACATGTCTAAAGATATAAAAATAAGATGTAGTGTGATTGCCAATGAGACAATACTCCAACAGAGACCAAATGACAAAGAAGTTTACAACTAAAGATGTGTGTTTTAGATACGCGTAAAACATGTTATAGGATATAAGCGCTGAAATGTTATCAATAAGTTTGTTATTATTTTAAATTTGTTTTGACAGGGTAAGATGAACTATGATAAGTTGTCAGATAAAAAGACCCTGCAGACACCGAAATCAAGTGCAGCATGTGGTCCTGTAGTTCTCACTGTAGGATCGAGTTATATTTTATCAGGTAAAATAATGTTCGTCATTACAGAATGAAGGATAACATCCTTTATAGTGTAATTATTAAAACCTTTTTATTGGCTAAAACAACGTTGCATAAGATGGAAAAATCAATAACATGCTGTATATTTCGTTTAGTGATACAAAACATTAAAGTATCCGCAATCGAAACATTAAAATATCCGCAATCATATAAATTATGTAGCAACAAATTCATTGTTGCAAATAATATATGGGACTGTGTCGGGTAAAGGAGGTCTACGGTTTTGTGAATCTAAGTATACTGAACAATTTACCTCCTGATTTAAGGTACCAATAGACTACTGTCGATTTAGTTTTAATTTGTGGATTACATTTTGGGTCCTTTTTTTGACATCTTCAGATGTTTCAAGTCTTATAAATCTTTGGCTTTAAACAGTTTGGGCTTTGAGCATTTCTGATGGAGGTAAATCCAGAAAACTGTCTCAGACGCGTAAAATTTTGCAAACGATCACCTAAGCTGTGTTTCGCAAAACATTTCGAACTTTTGGGTACTAAATGCTCTTCAATTTCGTACTTTATTGGACTTTTTAATATATTTGATTCGAGCTTCACTGGTGAGTCTTTTGTTAACGAAACGTGCGTTAGACGAAAACAATGTTAATCCTGGTATCTATGATGAGTTTATTGTAGTTTTATTTTCATATCGATATGATTTGGAAAAAAACTTTACCTTCATGTCTCGGACGCATAAAATGTGTAGTGTTATTTTCATTTCGATATGACTTGGAAAATGGGTTTACATTCATTTAGTTGTGGTTATAGAACCCCTTCTTTTTGATTAGGATACAGTTTAAGGTTAACATTAGGTAAAGGAAAGGTTATGGGTTAAGGTAAGCCAGTGTTCGAGTTTCGGTTCTGGCTAAGAAAAGAGTTGGGGTTAGTAGAGTATTACATTCTATGGTGAATTTCTCCTCAAGTAAAAGAAGCCCGAGAGGTAAATGGTTTAAAATTTGAATTAATAAATTTATAAGTAATTCATAGCATCAACTGCCTATAACTTTTACTGTCATTAAATAATTTAAACAAATATATAGAATCAGCAAAATAAACACACTGTAGGGCTAATGAATACAGTTGTTTTAATTTAATTTCAATTGATCATATTCGTTGTACATTTAGTTAGTTTGTACACTGTTTTCACACACTAGTTGACCTGTATGATGGGAAAATGAGCCATAACTTGTGCGGACTCCAGGTTGAAGCCAAAGGTGCAAGTCAGGTCTTGTTACAAGGTTTGGCTGGAAAATATAAAGATAATTGTGACTGTATTCTTGTTTAAGCGACGACAGGTGTCACCAGTTGAGCAGACACATCTAAATAAATATGTATCTGATTATGGCCTTGTGTAGGCCCTTTGTCGATTTACTATTTTTTTTTAAATGGTGTTTTTTTCTGAAGGCATTTTAATTTGTGTTGTTAAATTGAACAGTTTTGCCTAACCGGTTACTCGTATAATCTTTCGACCGATTAACCGGTTAACCGGTAGTTAAGTTGATGTTTAATGACCTACGTACAATACTTTACAAATGCACGTTCGTATGACTGATGTTTATCCTTGAAGATTGTACGGCTAGGCTTTGAGCATTCCTGGTGAAGTTTTACTTTAAATAATCTAATACTACCATATTTAATATGGCGTTTGTAATACATTCAGATTGCGAAGATGAAAATCGTCGATTTGACAATGTCTAAAACTGTTGATTGTTTAATTTTCTCTCATGTCTCAAAATATTATTTGGGTGTTTAAATTTGAGATGATCATGCGTGATACTCGTACCACTAATTATACATTGTTTCCATTCACATAATGTGCATTTACCATTTTTGAGTCGGCATTTCGTTTAACGTATGACAATGCCTTGGACGATTAAGGTGGCATATTTAGATGTCGTTTCACGCAATATTAAACCAAAAATGAAGCAATGAATTATATTATAAATTTAATCAGCTTACAACTGTTTAAAATACATGTCTGCTAATTATGTTCACTTTGAACCTTGCACCGAGCTGAAAAACGAGTTGTCTTTGTGCTAATTAATTTTGTAAAATCGGAATGTTTTCAAGGTTCACAATATCAATCAAAACACTGGCCAATCGACCTGTCAAATCAATTACCATGACGATCATTTCAAAATTCAACCAGTTTTGTTGATGAGTTCAATACACATTTATAGCAAATCTATTAAAATTAAAAAAAGATCCGGTTAACCGGTTAGCGATTTTGGTATTCGATATTCGGTCATTCCGACGGTTAACCGTTAAAACCGTTGACAACACTATTTTAATACATCATTAGTAATTTTTTCCTGATTTTTATTGTCCCTTTGGTATCTTTCGTCTCTCTTTTGCAACAGTTTCTTTATAATATAGTTAAAATTATCCAGTTATAATTCTTTCTCCGCTTATTGATAAGGACTATAATATATATATATATATATATATATACATATATATATGAATATGCGTGTGTGATAAAAACTTATAGTTGCTGCTCACAAGGAAGCTATTTAACCAAGAGTTCCAAGTGGTGAAGTTGTAATCATCCCTTCGTAAGTTTTACGGACGCCATCACGAGTTGGTTGACCGCTTTGGAATATCCGTTTCACAGATGATAATGGATATGTCCCTAATGTCGTAACTACAATCTCATCCCCATTTCCCGAATGTGACTTACCGAATTTGACTTATTACTGGGTTTGTACTAACATGAGCACACATGTGGAGCAGGATCTGTTTACCCTTCCGGAGCACCTGAGATCACCCACAGTTTTGGTGGGGTTCGTATTGCTCAGTCTTTAGTTTTCTATCTTGTGTTTTATGTACTATTGTTTGTCTGTTGGTCTTTTTCTTTTTTAGCCATTGCGTTGTCAGTTTATTTTCGACTTATGAGTTTGAATGTCCCTCTGGTATCTTTCGCCTTTCTTTAACAGTAATTATTAACTTATATTTATCTTTTTGTTCGCCGTATTGTATGATTTTGCTGTGAATGTGGAAATATAATTAAAAACGAGATACAACATCCCTATTTTAACGATTATATGTTCTGACTCACTATCATGTCTTCAAGTAATACAAAATACAAAAATAAAAACCCGTTAATTCTATATATCCTTTACGTTATAAGACATTTGAATTTTCTCTATTTAGAAATTATATTTCTATGGGTGCAAAGATATACCGGCATCCACGGAAACAAAGCTGTAGATAAGGAAGCACAAAATGCCTTGAACGACCCAATATCTAAAAGTGAAATACCATTAAATGATTTGTGTCCCCCGCGCGACTCGTTGAAGATGACAAAGAAATACTGGGAGTCCCATCGCACGTCGTCTGTCCGTCCGTCCAGTCTTGTTAGCGCTCTCGTGTGTACAGTTCTTGCCAGATTATCATAAAACTTAAATCATAGGTTTATATCAGCAATGTCCCAGACCAATTCGAAAATCAATGCCGATCAACTATTCTTAAAAGAGTTATGCCCATAGAAATATTACTTATATGGAAAATTGCCTTTTAGTGCTCTCACGTGCACAGTTTTTGCCATATTTTTATGAAATTTATATCAAAGTTTAATATTAATAATGTCTGGAAAAATTTCGAAAATTAGTGCCGATCAAATATTTTAAAAGAGTTATTTCCGTAGGAAATGTTAATTACATAGAAAATTGCATTGCATTTGCTCTCAAGTCAAGTTTTTTTAGTTATTGCCCTTGAACACATAAAATATATGCAACGCAGGAAACATTTGAACTCTGTTCTTTTATGAATAAAATATTAGAGAATATATTTTAATTGATGGAAAAACGCATAGAGTGAAAAGAACGACAATAAATTGCATGAAATAAAACCAAATATATGCAAACCTTTAAACAATTTTATAAATAGGAGAGATCAGCGTGTTATTTTTCGATGCCGTATCGGTCACATTAGAATAACACACGTGTATCTTTTTAAAAATTAAATTAAACCACAATGTATATACATGGCGATTTCAGGTATACAATTAAACATGTTTTAATAAAATGTATAGACTTTTCCTATATTCGGAGAAATCGTTTTAATCTAAGTTATAAGTGTTTTAATATTTTATATTATTCCAGTTTGAGCAATTGTTTCATTTAAAACAATATTGGAATATATTTTGAAATATAGATATATTGTATTATTGTAAAATGAATTAAAAGATATATCTTATAAGTGAAATTTATTTGTAAATAATTAATTTCCCTTTAAACTAAAATTTTAGTAAATTGAAAGATCTTTTGTCTGATATTTAAAACTGTCTTTTGTTAAAATATTTGAAAAGTTCTCGGCGGCATATAGCCTTTTTTGTGCTGGTGTGGCGTAAAGAAATCGCCAATCAACGGCAACGTCGTTTAAAGACCACGTCTTAAGACACAATCTATGTATGATCAACAATTAGTTTAATTAATTTATTCTTAAATAGTATATCTGTTTTTTCTGTTACATTTATTGTTTTTAGCAACAAGGCATGGTTTTTTTTTATTGAATTGCTAAAAATATTTTCATGTCGGGTCCCTTTATAGCTTACTTTGAATTGGGGAAACATAATAACTTGAAAACTAAGAATTTCTTTAAGATGATACAATTTCATATTGTTTTACTTTCAGATTCCATATGCGTTTGATCCTCCACCAACAGGCCCACAAACCAAAAAACATTGTAGACGTGCACCCCAAGGGTGCTCCTATCAAAGTCTGTGTAGCAGAGATGGATACGGCAGATGCAAGTGGCAAGGTTGTTAAAGAAGAGTTATTAAAAAATGTTCGTTCAAAACCTTTGTTAGTTCTTTTGTTATTATCTGAAAATAAAATTATGATGAACTGTTATTTGCTTAACTTCCAGTGATTAATACTTCCTGGCATGTCCAGGACTAGAACAGATTAACAAATAAAGGCAACAGTAGTATACCGCTGTTCAATAGTCATAATTTGATTAAGCAAAACCAAATCCGGGTAACAAACTAAAACTGAGGGAAACACATCAACTATACGAGGAAAACAACGGAACAACAGAAACACTGAACTACAACAAAAGGAAACACCAACATACATAGAAACGGACTGTAGATAACAACTGCCATATTACTGACTTGGTACAGGACATAAAATAAAAATGGTGGGTTGAACCTGGTTTTATGGCTAGCTAAACCTCCCGCTTATATGTCAATGTTAAAAATTCTGCTAAAATGACAACACTACGTGACAGGAAAACAGTAAAAACAAACGCAAGAACATTCAGTACAGAGAAATACATGAATAAATAATATTATAGTACATTAAAACGTGTAACCCGCAGAATTACAACGGACACCTCTCATGAATTTACGACCGCACACCAGGACACCACAAACAAAATATGAACTGCGCGTCACATAAATAGATTAACGTCACAAAAAGTGACAATACATACAAAAGGTGGGTTCTGTAATTGAAGTCGACAGGAATGAAGGGCGGAAATTTTGGAATGCCGCTGGAAAATAGGAGAATACGCATAGGGACAGAAATTTACCCTTGCAGCATGCCATCTTTTGACACCCTAAGACTTTTTGCAAGGTATTTAACGTGCGTAGAGCGTGACACGAGTCATCGGTTTAAACGTTCGAATTCAAATCGGAAGTGGCTGCGAATTTATACATCCCGCACAGCCTAACGGACGCCCCACTTTGGCAAGGGTTTATACTTTGGAAATAAGGTTTGATTTATATATACAAATTGAAACTTTCTTATTAAATGTTGCAAAAACATTGGGGAATGAATAAAGTGGACAAATTTACACGCATTCATATCTACTCTGAAATGGACAGTGATTGTTCGTTTCGACCAAGAAATGACAAATACCTAATTTTCCAGTAAAACCCTTAAAGTTATATATTTTATAATTATACATAAAGCTAAATACCGAAAATAAAGTAATTTCATAATTTATTCTTGACCACTCTTGGTTATATGCACGCATGGTCCTTAGAAGGAACTGTATCTGGTCTCCAGGTAATCAGGTTCATACCATGAGCATGCTACTTCTGATGATAACAAACGGTTTCAATATGTCCCTTCTTTATTACTTAAATACTCTTCAAACCTGTCGTTAATATTTGTCATCTACTTGCAAGCTTGTGCGTTTTTGCTATTTCTTTACATTTTGGACAGTTTTGTTTCATAAAAAGTATTA